CCAAGGTCTGGCTGATCCTGAAACCTGCTTCCTTTTATGAGATCTCTCTGCTGGCTCAATTTCATCTACATCCTTTACCAGAAACTGAAGGACAAACCACAATCCAGGGCTCAGAAAACCTGAGCAGGGTCCATCCCTGCCTCAGCCACCTCCTGCAAGGGATCTCCAGTCCCTTCCTCTCCTGTTTCCGTCCTTCACAGCATGGGATGGTTGTGGGGAGCCTGCCTCAGGCCAGCTTTCCTTCCCAGCCAGGCGCTGGTCACTCCACCCCAGGTCACCTGACAAAAACCCAGCCGCCCCTCGAAGCTGTGCTGCTCAAGCATCTCCACCCCCGAACCCAGGCAACCCCACGGGACACGAGGAGCATGTGTGCAGCTGCAGCCAGGCCTCCCCAGCGAGCGTGCACTCCTGGAACTGCCAAGCTGGGCCCAGCCCACCCTTTGTTCCCTGCATCTGGAAGGGCAATGGGCTTCTTCCCTGTGACAAAAATATACTGCCTGGCCTAACTGCCAAACACGGGTCAAAGAGGATGTTCCTGCTAGGATACACAGGCAAGTGCCTCTGCCGGGGTTTTACTGCCTCAAGATATATTGGGGGTGTCTAGTGCTGAGTGGGGAGAGAGGGCTCACTAGCCAATGACCCGCCTGATCTCCCCACTCAACAAAACATTCCACCTTCATTTCTAAATATTTAGAAGCTGAGAAAATATCAAACGAACATCTGCAGGCCCTTCCCCGGATGGGAAACCTTGGATCTCTTTCCAGAGATTTACAGTTTCGCCTCTTTCCCACGTCTCTGCTGTCACACAGAAGTGGTGACCTCTCAGTACAACTTCCTCTGCAACCTTTTGGAACTGGGGGCTTGCAACCTTTTTTCACTTGCTCTACAACCCTCCCACGGGGGCCCACGTGGCAGTGTGCTAGCGGGTACCTTCTGCCCGCCTTTCCTCACACGCATCCACAAGTCTTGGCAGGAAGGTACGATCTGGCTGGCTTGCGGCTCACCTTCTCTCCGACAGTCCCACTGCCGCGGGAATCTGCTAGAAGACTAGCTATTTACCTTGTCTTCCAGTTGATGTCCCTGAGAAACATCTTTTGGTGGTTGGAGGTGGGAGAAATAAAAGGTAAAATGACGGAGGCAGGGCTGGGTGGAGGGAGCGCCGCCTGGTCTGGCTGTGGTCTGGCTGGGGGGCAGGCGCAGCTCAGGCCCTCCACCTCTGTCACACGTGCCCAGGAGAGTGGCGCTCTGTCCCGGTCACTGGCCTACCATCAGCCACCTACACTGGGATATGAGTGGGCCCAGGGTATACCCTCATGTGCCCACGGAAGGGACCCCTGTGAGATGCCAGCAAGCCGAAGCTGGCGGCCTTCTCCAGATGGGCCGTGGGAAACAGGAAGACGAGAGTGCCCCCAGGACCACACACACGGAAGGGCAGCTACTGCTGCCGGGGTGAGGCAGGCTGGGCCACAGGACCCTGGGAAAGCTGGGGACCCACGGGGCCTTGCTGAGGGTGCTGATGCTGGCTGGGATGGCTCTTGGGGCTAGGGCCTGGCACTGTGGGCCTGGGGAGATGGCTCCAAAACCAAGCAGCCTTCCTTCCTGACATGTGGGGCAATGGCATGTGAGCGTGGGTGACCTGGATGAGGCCAAGTTTCCAGAGGAAAAACTCAGGTCCAGGTTGCTGTGAGGACTGTGTAAGGAGGAACTCCAGTGAGGGGGCTCTCATCTGACGCCCATCTCACATCTTGGTCGTCCAGCCCCTGCCCGCTCCACTCCAGAATGCCTCCCAGCCTGCCCTTCTTCCCCTGCCCTTCTCTGTTTCCGCCCTTGCCACCTCCTGCCTCAGATGGACGCTAGCTTCTTCACTGACCTCTCTGCTGCAGGGCTGTCCCCTCCAACCCTCCCAGGGTTGCCTGATCCAGGCCCTTGTCGTCTCTCTCCTGGATGACTCTAACAGCTTCCCTCTGACCACCCATCCCCCAAGCAAACGGGCAGAACCACCTTCTGGAAACGCAGATCCCATCAGATCACTGGACTCCCTAGAAACCTCAAAGCCCTCCTGACAGCCTCTAGCAGTGAATGCACCCCAGTGGCCAAGTGGCCTCCAGCAGGAGACCATCCTGAAAGACAAAGGCACACCTGCAAGAGGGGCCCAGAGGGCAGCACTGCTCAGCACACGCCTAGGGAGCCCTGGCCCCATGTGGGGCTCTGCAGGGTCGGTCCCGCTTGCGGGGTCTGCTTGCTTCTGAGGCCACAGGTCCACTGCAGCGGTCCACTGCAGCTGCCCACGCCGGCTGCTGAGACAGTGTGCTGTCTACACCGAGCCGACTGCTCCATGCACTTCCATCTGACAGCTTATTTAGCAGTCGCCGAATGGCAGGCACAGAGGATGAATCGACACCACAACAGCTGTGCTGTGGTAGAAAGTAGCATATTTTTTTTCTCACCAAGCAAATCTGGGTTCACATCCTGGCTTTGCTTCTTACTGGTTAAGTTATATGGGCAAATTATTTAAGTTTGAACCTCAGTTTCCTCACCTGTTAAACGAGAATAACCTGACCTTGGTCACCATCTAATCCAAGGGGACAGCTTGCAAACCATGCGTGTTCATGCTACCACCGAGCCGCTCACCTCTCCCGGAACCCTTCGCCTCCCACCCAAGCAAGCACAGGCATTCTTCCAAGGCTCCTCTGGGACCCGTAGCCAAGCTCTGCAACCCTCACTTCCCCTGTTTGCTCAGAAGCTGTGCATCATTAACTTCGATTTGTCTACCTCGTTGCAATCCCTCCCCCTTCTGCAGTTACTTACATTGGAACCCAGCCCCAGCTTTAATGCACCTCAAATGAATGATGTGATCAGCCGTTAGAATGACGGCAGAGCATGAATTTCCTCATTAAAGCCCCTAGAGCAAAAGGCAATGCAAACAAGGTCCGAAGCCCTGGCCAAGGTGTGCTGAGGACAGGCACTCATCAGGCCTGGGTTGAGCTTGGCAGGAGACACTGCTCACGGCAAGCCGGAACCAGACTCTGGCCATGGGCTGACAGCTTTGATTTAAACTATTAGGAAGGCTGAGGATTAAATATTTGTCCAGGTCACTGTAAACCGGGTGGAATTATCAACAGCCTGGAGTGGTAAGTGATGCAGGAAGCAGTCTCTGGATACAGATTCAGGATTTTCCACCCACTCCCCAGGTGGCAGGATGTGGGAGAGTCAGGCTGCAGGGGAGCTGGCTGTCTGGGGATTTGGCTGCTCCTCCCCAGCTAATGGCCCCTGGAAGATAGGAGTCCACTTCCATGCAAAAAGGCTAACCACCACTCCCTCCCCTCCGCCCTGTCAGCACTAGCGAGTAGTTCTGGGATGGGACCGCGATATCCCTGCTCAGACGCCAAAAAGAGGACCCCAACATCCCTTCTGGCCTCCAGCCCCTCGGACACAGGAGAGGCAGTGGAGCTTCTATAGGTGGAGGGAGGCTCCCAGGCATGATGGCTGACATTCACCTTGCATCACTATTTTTTAAAAGTATGTAGGTGTTGTTGTAACTAGTAGAATACAAATTCACTTAAAAGATTTACTACACTGGGCTGGGTGTGCTGGCTTATGCCTGTAATCCCAGCACTTTGGGAGGCCGAGGTGGGCGGATCACTTGAGGTCAGGAGTTCAAGACCAGCCTGGCCAACATGGTGAAATCCCACCTCTACTAAAAATACAAAAAAATGAGCTAGACGTGGTGGTACATGCCTGTAGTCCCAGCTACTCGGGAGGCTGAAGCAGGAGAATCGCTTGAACCCGGGAGGCAGAGATTGCAGTGAGCCGAGATCACACCATTATATTCCAGCCTGGGTGACAAAGCGAGACTCCGTCTCAAAAAAAAAAAAAAGATTTACTACACTGATCCTTTCAGTCATATGTTTTCTACCCACAGCTATCGAGAGCATAGTTATCTTACTGAAAGATATCTCTGATGTTAAAAGGAATTCTCACAGTGGAAAGTCAGGGACTACTGGAACCGAGAATGGAAGGGCATCCTTGCAGAAAGTGGCGCCCCTCTGAGGCTCCCAAGGCTGTGCCATTTCTGCCAATACCAACTTCTCCGAAGGCAGAGCGGGGTCCTTGTGAAACCCAGTTGTGCACCTGGTCTATGCTTTATCTTCCCCCTTTACGCCAAGCATCTTGTGGCCCCGCACCAGCACAAGATTAAGGCCTTCTCTTGGGATGGGAATGTAAAGGGTCCTGAACATGGATCCTTACACAAGGTTCTTAAACCCACCTAGATGCTTATGGGAGCTTCTAAGGTAGAAGAGGAGGCAAGTTTGCTCAGGGAAGGCAGTACCTTAAAGTCCAAGTCCAAGTTTGCCTTAGACAGAACCTGGGAGCAACGTCGTGGAGAAGGGTTGCTAGAGATAGCCAAACAAAAGATGGATAAGAGAGAGGTATCCAGTAGGGCACGTCTTAAATTTCAATGTGCACACACATTACCTGGAGAATTTTGTGAAAATACAGATCCTGATATGCTAGGTCTGGGGGGGCGTCTGACATTTCTGCCTTTCTGACAGGCTCTGTGGTGATGCTGATGCTGGTCCTTGGACTGGGCTGAGGGCAGCAAGGTGCAGACACTCTGAGCTCAGGTAAGCAGCTCCCAGAGAGCTGGCCTGACTGATGGGCTGGGCATGGCCACAGAGAAGGCAAACACAGCCAAGCACCACTTCTCACAGCACACCATGAGCCGAAGAATGGGGATGTGCGGTGCCCTGAGGAGTAAGGAGGAGCCACGCCAGCACCTGACCTCCCTCAGCAGGAGGCCAGCAGAGTGCCAGCAGCTACGGGCAACCTTGCAGAGTCCAGAGAGCTTTTATTTGAAAATGCGAAGCCCTCCTTAGGTGGTGGATTTATAGCTGGCTGAACATGCTTACCCTAGGGCACCTGCTCACTCATCTCTGCAGGTCAGCGCTGAGGCCAGCACCTGTGGGCACTGGCAACTGGCTATGAGCGGGTAACTCTACCTGTCTGGTAAGGCTGCCTCCGAGGTTCATGGTGCCAGAGCCGGATTTGTTGGTCTGCAGCCACAGCATCACCGTGGAGGTCAACTTGTAATGGGCAGTGCGGCCGCTGGATTTCTCCTGGAAGGACAAGACAGAGATCTGTTGAGCTGAGGGAGAGCCTGAAGTGGCCCCTTGAATTCAGGGTCATCCTAACATCTCCCTTCCTAGGTCATTATCACAATATTACTTTTTTAATTGGAGACAAAGTCTTGCTCTGTCACCCAGGCTGGAGTGCAGTGGTGTGATCTCAACTCACTGCAGCCTCCACCTCCCGGGTTCAAGCGATTCTCCTGCCTCAGCCTCCCAAGTAGCTAGGATTACAGGCACCTGCCACTAAGCCTGGCTAATTTTCTTTGTGTTTTTGGTAGAGGTGGGGTTTCACCATGTTGGCCAGGCTGATCTTGAACTCCTGACCTCCAGTGATCTGCCTGCCTCAGCCTCCCAACTGCTGGCATTACAGGCATGAGCCACTGCACCCGGCCTCACAATGTTATCTTTCTTATAAAATCCCAACTGGTTTTTAAAGGGACATTTGTAATTGTGTATTTCTTTTGGGAACTTAATCATCAATGACTACTGCAATCTTTTTTTTTTTTTTTTGAGACGGAGTCTCGCCCTGTCGCCCAGGCTGAAGTGCAGTGGCCGGATCTCAGCTCACTGCAAGCTCCGCCTCCCGGGTTCACGCCATTCTCCTGCCTCAGCCTCCCTACAGGCGCCCGCCACCTCGCCCAGCTAGTTTTTTGTATTTTTTAGTAGAGATGGGGTTTCACCATGTTAGCCAGGATGGTCTCGATCTCCTGACCTCGTGATCCACCCGTCTCAGCCTCCCAAAGTGCTGGGATTACACGCTTGAGCCACCGCGCCCGGCGACTACTGCAATCTTGACTTATCTTTATCCAAATGGCTTGGAGGCATTTCTCAGAATGAGGGGTTCAGAGATCACAGCATCCCCCTCACTGCATCTGCTAGAGAGCAGCGCGGCACTGTTTGGTGTGATTCTGTACTTAGTGGCCCCGGCCACCAGCTGCTGGGAGGTGGTACCTGCACTTCTACCACGTGGATGGAATCCCAGCAGCCTTTGATCTTCTTTGATCCATCTCCAGCCTTCTTTATGAGGATCACTCCAGCAAAGCCATGATCCAGATCCCAGAGGTAGACAGATGAGACGCCGCCTTCAAAATACCTGCAGGAAACAGGCCAATGTGCCTGTTAGATGCTAAAGGACAGATCATCAGCCTGGGTCCCAGGCTGTTGCTCAGCAAAGATTCTGGGATTTGGGGTCCTCCCTGCAACAGTTATAGGAGCTGATCCTTGGGTGTGTTCTGATCGTTCTCTGGCTCGGGGAGGGGGTGCAGCATTTTTGGGGGTGTAGTAGGTTTAGGCATCATAAAGATGAACTTGAGTTTGGGCTCTGCCACCTCCCTGAGCTTTGTGGTCTTTGGCTTACTGGACCTCTCTAGGCGTCACATTCCTCCCAGATAAAGAACACAGCACGAGTGACATCCAGTGACAATCCATGCAGGCCATGACTACTAGGGTGACCACGGTTGTTCAATATTTCTGTCTTTTGGGTTACAAGGCAGATGAGAAAATACAGCAACAAACTCCCTACACGCTGATCCCTCCTGAGCCTGGCAGACCAGGGCTCCAGCTGGTCTTTCGGAGCAATTTCCTACAAAGCGCTAGCCGGAAATGAAGAGCTCAGCTTGAGACAGTGCTTCCTCCTCAAATCCGAGTCAATACAAAAACATCTCTCTCTCTCTCCTTTTTTTTTTTTTTTTTGAGATGAAGTCTTACTGTCTCCCAGGCCAGAGTGCAGTGGCACCATCTCGGCTCACTGCAACCTCCACCTCCCAGGTTCAAACGATTCTCCTGCCTCAGCCTCCTAAGTAGCTGGGATTACAGGTGTGCACCACTGCGCCCGGCTAATTTCTGTATTTTTAGTAGAGATGGGGTTTCGCCATGTTGGCCAGGCTGGTCTCGATCTCCTGACCTCAAGTGATCCACTGCATCTGGCCCAGAAACATTTCTAATTATGATCAAATGGAAGAGGGATTTCTAATTACGATCAAATGGAAGAGGGAATGAAAAGGTTAGATGAGAAATGGGAATCAGTCTGGGATCCCAAACCCAACAGACCCAGGTCAACTACTGTGGCTCGCTGGGGCTGCCGTAAGCAGAGGTGAGGGGTGGAGTCAGCTGATGGGAACTGCAAATGCTGGTGATAACCAGCGAAATCTCATTTCTTGTGGTGAAATCTGTAGCCTCTCCGACCCCAATTAAGCCCCAAAAAGAGAAATCTCATCTCTGCTGATAACCAGTGAAACTGTAAGCAATCACATCTCTCATGGTGAGCACATCTTTATCAGAAAGTCTGGGGCCTCTCTGACCCCTATTAAGCCCCAAAGCCCTGGTGCGGCAGGCGTATTCTGGGAGCACGCCGCCCTCAGCCCCGGACAGCTGGGAAGGTGGGCCCAGGCTTGGGAGTCAGACGGACCCAATGACAGCTCTAGCACGCCCAGCCCCAGCTATGAGCTATGCTCACGCACACATGTGTCCAACTGTTTACTAAGGGACCAGTGGCGTGAACATGGACTTCAGGGACTTAATCTACTTTCTACGGCTGTTGAGAGACAAACAATTAGGAAAAGTAGACACCTACCAAACGGTTAATGTAAAATTAAGTACTAGAAATTAACATGTATCTGTAGATTATGTCTCACCAAAGCTATTCTATAATAAAAAATACACACGGTAAATGTGAATATTTACAGAATGTGGGTGATGGGTATACAAGAATTCTCTGTACTTTTTTTTTTTTTTTTTTTGCAATTTGACAGTAAGTCATACTGTTCCAGACTAAAAAGCTTTTGTGAAAAATTAGTACGCGAATACACCAGAGTGTAATGTAACTAAGAGACCATCAGACCAAGAAAGCAAAGCATCCTCCCAGGAGAATGAGGGTGCCCTGGCTGGTCTGCCCTCACTCCAACCCTCAGACCTGTGGAGCATCCAGGAGGGCTGATACTCAGGTGGGCTACCCTTGGCCCCGCCCCGAGGGCTCCCTCAGGCAGGCTGCAGCCAGCCCCTGCGGCAGGACCACATCCTGTCCCGTTCCCTCTGTGGCACTAACCACTGTGATTAAGCTATCAAACCGAATACGCCATGGTGCGTCCACAGGCGAGTCTGCAGGAGGGCAGATGAGGGCAGGGCTGCCTGGCTAACAGAAGTGTCACTCAGGGAACACCTGCGGGATGGATGTGTCAGGTGCCAGGTGCTGAGCTCATCACTGGTCAAACTGCACAGGGTGGGGAAGGGCCTGGCTCTGGCAAGGTGTAGCACAGACACCCTTTCCTTCTAGAGGAAAAGGACCACTGGATGAACAGACACACCTGTGGGGCTCAGCGCTCACTGCTGGCAGAGGTGATGTCCAGGACACCGGCCAATACTGGCACTCAGAGACCCCACTCCAGAAGATCATTTCCTTTATTCCAGTCTGTCTCCAAACTCTCCCTTCTTGGGGCAAGGCGAGCTAAGCAGATGAGTGTTTTGGTCCAGGGCCCAAGGCCCCATCTGCCTCCATAGGGCCCTCCTGGTCTGGACCGGCCCCATACAGAGTTGGAGAGATCAGGCCATTCTGGAATGTTCCCGGAACACCTGGAGAGGGACTGACTGCCCCTGCTAGACCTGAGGTTTAGCAGGGCTCAGATGACTGGCAGCATGGGCTCCGTGAGCCTTTCTGGCTTATTCTCCTGGATTCTTGCAGGTTAACTTACGAGGCACACAAACACTACCGAGAGAAGAGCAACTCAGAACAGAGCTGCTAATACCCTTCCTGTTGGCGACAGATGGCTTGGTTCTAGCACACGGTTTTCTCTTTCAGCCAGCTTATAGGGAGAGCAGCCCCACATCAAAAGAGGGGGAAGAAAAACAAACAAAAAAACCCTACTTTGCTGGCAAAAAGGATGGGCCAATAATTCCTTCTTTCCTTTGGCCATTCTGGAAAGCAGGCTTGCAGCCCAGGGGCATTTCATCCTTCCGCTCCTTCACAGATCCACGCAGAGCTGCGGTGCTGTGCCCGCCCAAGGCTTGCTCTCCTCTGTGTGCTGGGACACTGGGGAGAGGCAGGTCAGGCTGCCCTGGAGGGGAACCCGGAGAAATCCCGATGGTCTGACACTGTCGACACCCTCCGGCGACCAGTTCAAAAGCACCAGGTGGCCCACGGCTGCTTCCCCTCAGTCCCATCCCTGAGCGTTCCGTTTCTTCCAGAAAAATAAAACAACCGCATTAAAGTTTTATAGGGTGGAACTGGCCGTTTCCACTCCAACGTCCCACCCCGTGGCCTGGCTCCCACTACAGGCAGCTTCTCCTTGGCAGGCCACAGTGACCAGATCTAAAGTTTCAAATGCTGGAGCCAGGGGAGGTAAAAATGCAAGCTCAATTGTGACCTCCTTGCGGGGTTACTATTCTTTTACCCACAATTTTAAAACTTACTGCAGGAACATCATTGTTTTTTAAAAAAGGAAATCTGAAAATTAGCCCACAATACCATAAATCAACTTATCCCATAAATCTGATTTTTCCAAATTCCCGTCCAGTCCAGATGCATTTTTATATAACCGTAAGCACAGCAAGAGTACCACGCTGAATTTGGCTTTTTACACTTGGCACAGAATCATTAGCATTTTTCCATGGAGCCGCATGATCTCCATAATCATTTTTAACAGCAAGGATAGTATTCAGTCGGATAGTATCCTAATTTACCGTCGATCTGACTTTTAATAAAGAAACGACGACGACAGAGTTAGAGGCGGCGTGGTTGGTCTCTCGCTTTGAATCTGTTCCCTCTCTGAATCGGGGTGTTCCAACTGAGGTGAGTCAGACGTGCTGAGACCTGGCCTCTGCAGGTACAGCTCAGACACTACAATAATTCAAGAATGGGCTTGCATTCCATTCACCAAAAGGGATCCCCAGGGACTGGAGCAGCCACAAGTCCCAACCTGACATTCCGAGACAAAGGGAGCAGAGGACTGCACGGTTAGAAAGGCTTGTTTCAGAATCGCCCAGAAGCACCGGCCTCTCCTGTGAGTGCTGTCGGGATGGCTCCGGGACCTTCAGGTGGGAGGTGACCGCAGGGCGCACAGGCAGCGCCCCCACTACTTGGTTTATGGCTCTGCTCTGCGCGTGAAGCATTAATTAAAGAGGGACCACAACATGTTTTTGAAAATTTATTTCTTACCTACTGTACTTTGATCATAATGACATGAAACAAGGAAAAAAATAATTTTTATGTGGTTTGCATTTATGAGTTTTTACATAAAGGCTTTTGTGGGTATTTTAAGAATGTGCTAAAACGTTGTCTGAAACCACATAAAGCCATCTGAGGAGTCGCCCGCCAGAACTAACAGCACACACATGGAAGCACTTTAACTGGCCTTTGTATATTTAATGAGTCAAATAGTATTAATATTGTTTAAATGCTAACATGCTATTTCAATAAGGTGGCTCTACCATCGCCTGCGACTCACTCACAGGCCTCGCACATCCATGTGAGTGAATGATCAAATGTGGCCAAGCGCTGAGAGCAGGCTGCAGAGGAATTCACCCGCCCTGCCTTGGCCCCTGCCCATGCCTGATAATTTCAAAATCCCCTAACTCTGCAGGGAGGGGGGAATGGGCCCAGGACTCACTACCACAGCTCAGCTGATTTGGGCTCAAGAGGAAAAGCCCAGAGAGTCCCTGCAGTGAGGTCTCTGGTCAAGGAGGCAGAAGGAGAGCTTTTTATTTTTTTTTTTTTGAGACAAAGTCTCGCTCTGTCGCCTAGGCTGGAGTGCAGTGGCATAACCTCAGCTCACTGTCACTTCCACCTCCCAGGTTCAAGTGATTCTCCTGCTTTAGCCTCCCAAGTAGCAGGGATTCCAGGGGTCTGCCACCACGCCTGGATAATTGTCTTTTTTTTTTTTTTTTTTTTTTTTGAGACAGAGTTTTGCTCTTGTTGCCTAGGCTGAAGTGCTGCAATGGCATGATCTTGGCTCACTATAACCTCTGCCTCCCAGGTTCAAGCAATTCTCCTGCCTCAGCCTCCCAAGTAGCTGGGATTACAGGCATGCACCATCACGCCTGGCTAATTTTGTATTTTTAGTAGAGACGGGGTTTCTCCATGTTGAGGCTGGTCTCGAACTC